CCCTCCAAAAAAAACACATCGCTTAAAGCTACAATCAGCAAAACTTTAGCTTAAAGCTACATTTGTCAAAAATGTTGCTAAAAGCTAACTTTGGCAAGACTATAGCTAAAGCAAAAACTGGCTAAACCGTAGCAGCTAAAACTAATTTATTTTAGCTCAGAATAAATGTTTTACAATTGTAGCTAAAATCTAAATTTAATTGTGGCTTGAAGCTAAATATAGGAAATAGTGGCWAAAAACTATCATTTGAAAAACCAAATTAAAGCTAATGTAAGAAAACAGCAGCTAAAGCCATAATTGGCAAAACTGTAGCAGAAACAAAACTAGTTCGATTGTATCTAAAAGATTAATTTTGCGAATTTGTGGCTAAATGTAGCAAATAATGGGTAAAAGCTAAATGTAACAAAATTGTGACTAAATATAGCAAAATCGTAGCAACCCTGCAGATAAAAGCTAAAAAATAGCTAAACTCAAAAAGTAAAAACTACAACAGTAGCTAAAAGCTAAATTCAAACAGAGGTCAATATTTTGTCCTTGGCTCTCAAACAGCTGATGATAAACACAGCCAGTGTGTGTGTGTGTGTGTGTGTGTGTGTGTGTGTGTGTGTGTGTGTGTCACAGTGTTTGTGTGTCACAGTGTGCATTTGGGTTTGATTTTGACTGAGGACGATGACTTGTGCTGACTCAGCAGATAACGCTGCCGCCACTGATGCTGTGACCTTGTCAGGCGTTTAAAACTTTTGCCTTCCTGCCTCTGAAATCATCTTTAAGGTTGACGCAGATCAGCTTTAACTGCTTTATTTACAATATAAAAACTTTTATTTTGAAAGTCTCAAAGCCCGTGAGGATGTTTTTCGTCATGCTGCTCTCAGAGTTAAATCGYAAAGAGATGTTTCGGCAGCAGATCYGAAGCTGGCGTTTGTTCTTTTTCGGCTGCTCGAGCTCTGAGCTGACAGGAAGCCGATGGTTGGTTTGGTTTCAGGCCTCAGGCGACGTTAGCGAGGCGGCGGTGGCGGCGCACTAATCAGAGTCATTAACGATGATTCTGACCATCAGATCATCTGCTGCTGTCGCTTTGTTCTGCGACGCCTCAGCAGCTTTCAGATGGCGGCGGCCGGGGTACTGAAGGGGGAGGGGTGGTTGTTAAACTGGGCAAGRCTCACTTTACAGAGGAGAGGGAGGATTAGGGGAGTGAGATAATCAGGACAAGAGCACAATGTGTGTGTTGCTGTTTTTGTTGCCTWTTTAGGACCCTCTCTGTATACACACCCGACTTGTTGGGACCTGTAGACCTTTTAGGACCAAAGCACAGTCCCAATACGGTGGAACGCCATGTTTTTAAGTTAGGTTTAGGACTAAAGTGTGAATTGATTAGGAGCTACAGAAATTACGTCATTACGCTGTCCTAATGAGCGGTGATGGGCATGGTGCCACGAATCAGCTAAAAGCAGAAAACCTTTTCCATTTAGCAGCTTAGCTTTTTCACAAACTTTGAAAACTGTTAGCAGACCAATTAGCTTCTGCTAAATAAGGTTTCGCTAATATTTAACTTGCACAGCTATAGTCTAGCTTCCACTAAATTAGGTTTTACCAATTTTAAGTCTGCTAACAGCTAACTAGCATAGATATATGTGTGGGCATGGCTCTGCTAATAAGCTAAGCTAACAGCTTATAGCTGACCAAATTAATCTGGGTCAGCTAWTAGCTGACCTAATTTTTCATTTGGCAGATTAGCTTTTTCACTAAATTTGAAAACCGTTAAACCAATTAGCTTTCACTAAATTAGGTTTTACCACCTTTAGGACTGCTAACAGCTAACTAGCACATGTATAAAAAAGTAGGTGGGTAAACAGGTATAGACTGGGTATAATTTATAACCAGAGGTGGATTAGGGTTAAGCTAATCAGCTAAAAGCAAAACTAATATTTTAACAGATTAACTTTTACACTAACTTTAAAACTGTTAGCAGACCAATWAGCTTCCACTAAATGAGGTTTTACCAACTTTAAATCTGCTAACAGCTAACTAGCATATATATAAATATGTATAGACTAGTGGTGGGCATCGTTTGCTAATAAGCTAACAGTTAATAGCGGACCTAATTTTTCATTTAGCAGATTAGCTTTTSCACTAAGTTTGAAAACCGTTTACAAAAACATTAGCTTTTGATAAATTAGGCTTTTGCACGTTTAGGTCTGCTAACAGCTAACTRGCACTGGTATAAATGGTGGGTTAAGGTTGCGCTAATCAGTGGAACCTATTTTTTGTTAAGCAGATTTGCTTTTTCACTAACTTTGGAAACCGTTGGCAAACAATTAGCTTTTGCTAATTTAGGTTTTGCCACCTTTAGGCCTGCTAAAAGCTAATTAGCACAGGTATATAAAAGTCCGTAGGTATAAACTGGGTATAATTTATATACAGAGGTGGCTTAGGGTGGAGTTAATCAGCTAACAGCTGAGCTAATATTTGAACAACTTTTTCACTAACTTTAAAAACCGTTAGCTTCTGCTAAAATATGTTTGGCCACCTTTAGGTGCACCAACAGCTAACAAACAGGTTTGTGTCGGTCCCACCAGTCTTCAGCTGGACGAGACGCAGACATGTAGACTGACAGTCATCTTAGCCATTAGCAATTAGCTGTTAGTGTTAGCTTTCTATTCGTTCAGCTGTTCAGTGTTAGCAAAGGTATATTTCTAGTTAGATTAGAAGTTAGCGAGGCTAACCTTTTGGTTAGCTGTGCCCAAACAGAAACAAACTTGAAGTTGAGTTTTGTTGAATTTCTCTCGCGTTTCTGAGGTTTGACCTTTGACCCTGTTAGGGCTAACAGATAAACTCACTTTCTGGTCACTTGGACAGATGGGACAGTGAAGAATTGTGGGAAATACACAATATATATGTTTTTAAGGGTGTTTATTTTGCTAAATGAGCTACTTTACTGTAACATTTAGGAGTATTAAACTAAGTCGTAGCTGCTACGTGGCGCAGACACTGAAYTTTTTATGTGGTTTGAGTCAGTTTGGAACCAACCTGAGTTAAAACTTGTTTCTGTGAGGAGAAAAATACAAAAAAGCACCAGATGCCAGGACTCAGCATATCACAAAATATAAATGAAAATAAATGTCATCATTATTTTTAGCATTATTGGTGAATCTGAGCGAGTTTTGTGTTTCTGGCTGAGGAGGAGGAAGCAGATGGTCAWGGATTGTAGGCGGGAGGGACTTCTTTTTTTAGTTTTTCTACCTGTGGGGGAAGAGTTTCCTTTAGAGTCTGAGGCCAAAGAGAAGAAAGAGGTGGAGAGATTTCCAGTGAAACCTCTAACTTCTCCCGTCAAACCTCGACTCTCTTTACGATTTGATGTTTTTCTGACGTCCTGAAGTCACGGCAGTCCTCGACAGTTTGATTTCCTGGTCTGCCTCGGTGCGAGGATAATCCGTGTTTTCTGTCTCCGTGTCTTTATTTAGGGATCGAGCTTTGTCTGCCAGCCTGGCGCTTCTCCATGACAATGGTGGCCAGTTTTCTGAAGGTGGGCGGGCAGCTCCTGATGCCAGCCGTGGCCGCTCTGTGTCGCTATTGGCCGAGCGGGGAGGACTGGCAGGTGCTGCAGATCGTCATAATCAGCCCTTTTGTTCTGATGCTGCCCTACGTCTGGTGAGTCCCGCCTTTTGAAGACGTCCCCGGCATATTGTGTGTGTGTGTGTGTCACACTGAGCCAGGCGATGGCTCGTACAGTCACACCACTCCACAACGCTCAAACAATACTTTCTTTCTTCTGTCCGTTTCGTCTCCTCCTCACGGCACATTCTGTTCTCATCTTTTGTCCGCTTCCTTAAAAACGCCGTCTCTGTGTTTCCGCAGGATTTTTCCTGAATCCCTGCGCTGGTTGCTGGCCACCCAGCACTACAAGCGCTCCAAAGCCATGATGCTGCGCATCGCCAGGAAGAACCAGGTTGACCTGACCACCGAGCCCAGCGGAGTTCTCACAGGTGAAGCTGACTCCGAGCATCAAAACTTATAAATTAGTTTCTTTTCCCCCTGCCTTTTTTGAATTTTATTTTATTGTTCATTACAACAAGAAAGAT